CTTGCCCCCTTGACCAACCACAAAAGCCATGTCAACGGCTTCCCAAATCTGCTCTTTTATATCCTTGGATATTTGAACCCATCTCTTGTCCACAACTGGGACTCTGGAGCGTGCCAACACACCAATGTAGGACTGCATCTCACTATGTGCACATGGTTTCCCTTCTTCATTGTACTCAACAACAGGCTTGATTTTCTGAAATTTTCTCTTCACAACACGGGGCATTGTGCTTATACCCCGACCTGACTTTGGCTCCTCAGAAAATGTTGCCGTGCTGGCTGGTTCTGTATCAGAAGATGAAACAAACTTCATCTTCTTCAAGGACTTAGCTTGAGGATTTACAACTCTAAGCTCCTTACCTTCATTTTTTTTCAAGCCAGACTCCTTACTTTGGGATAGAGAAACCATGGTTACAGACAAATCAAACCTGCAAGTGAAAATATTTCAGTGAAATTAATAAAAAAACACGACGATTATTTATAAAATACGACGTATTATAATATTTCAAACAACGTAAGAACAAAACAATCGACGTAATAATAAATTTTCACGACGGTAATTAACCACCAACGTGATAAAATATTACAACGACGTAAATAAAAAAAAACCGACGTCTTATGATATAATCACAAAAAACAGAGTATTAAATATTACAACGACGTTAATAATAAAAATTCGCCGTGGTATTGAAAATAAAACGACGTAAATATTAATATACCGTCGTCTATACCACATAAACAAATTAGGAAAAACGTAAAATATTTTCAACAGAAAAATAATTAAAAAGATTTTCGAAACAAAAACCATTATTCAGAGAAATCAAACCTGCGATGAATATATCCTTAGAAATCAAATACAAAAAAAGAATATCATTTTAAAAAACAACGAAGAACACTTTCACACGACGCTAGGGTGACTGACGAACCGTCGTGGTCTATAAATCTAACCACGCAAATAACAAGCCACCGTCGTCTTATTTAGTTGAAGTAAAATAACCAGAGTAGTGTTCAAACTTGGAAACTTTTCATCTTTGTCTGCAAATTTTATCAAACTTGGAAAGAAAAAATGTAAAAAGAATAAAAAAAAACGAAAATGATATGCGCATGCAAAACAGGAACAAAAATCCTTCCAGAAATGCTTACCCTTTGCTTGCGATGAAAGCTTTCTTCTGGAGTTTGGTGTTTCAGTTCAGAGATGAAGACGAAGAGGAGAGGAAGACGAAAAGTTTTCTATCGGAGATAAGCTTGAAAGTTTGAAACAGCGCTTTGAGAATGAATAATGAGAGAAGCTTGAAAGTTTTTCTCAGGTTTGGAAACAGTGCAAGTATGGGTCAGGAAGGCGAAAAGTTTAAAATAATAAAAAAAAA